TTTTTATTTTTTTATATTTTTTTGCAAATATTTTTTTTTTTTTTTTTTTTTTTGAATTTTTAAATTTAAATTTTAATACAAATATTTTTTTATTTTTTTATATTTTTTTGCAAATATTTTTTTTTTTTTTTTTTTTTTTGAATTTTTAAATTTAAATTTTAATACAAATATTAATTTCATGACAATCGGGTAAAAAGTGCAGAAGTTACAGGTTCTAGAATATTTCGACAAAAAATGTTGTTACCATGGCAACGATGACTCCGCCCACACCCAAAACGATAGGTGTCTTCGCTTTACGATAACGCACCTTCATTCGAAATTTGAAGATGATCTGAGAAGAACTGCAGCCGGTAGAGCGTTCACAAGGAAATCTCTACGGCGGCGGCGGCGGCGGCGGCGCGACGATGCCAAATCCATAGTATCCCCACGAACTTCGTTCGGGGGATACAATAATATATATAATATATATATACTTATCATAGAACATATTCTGCGAATCACTACTAGTATTTCTGTATTTTAAGAGAAATGTAATCTTTAAGGTACCTCACAATGGATAAGACAAGGAAACTCATTCTGGTATTGGAAACAGACCCGAAAGTTGCCAGTCTGCCATTGATAGGAATGTGAGTAGATCAGCCCAATGTTTTATAATATCAAACAGATGTTTGATCAATTAAGGGCAAGTTACCATCTTTTGTACATAATGTTTTTGTTTTCTGTGGTTTTCATGATTAATATTTTACTTTTAATATTTTAACTCCACAGAGAACTTTCCGTTGAGATATTTCTCGATGTTATTCTCTTCAGAAGATTTCTCACAGAGCGTGGTTCGAAACAATCACGCTAACGCAATTTTATATAAGAATAATTTTCGAGCAGATTGTGTTATCAAAATGTTTTACAATGACATGGAGTTGTTTATTGTTACTACCTACCTGTGCCATCATTCTAGATGGGTGAGTGGAGTATATGAGGTTCAGCATGTTTACATTTGGATGGCTTGTCTGAGGTACCTTAACAGCTCAGCCATACAAGACAGGTAGGTCTAGATAGTATGCATACTGCTTAAGTTCCTAATGACCCCTTGCTGTTTCAGCAGTGGTCTTGCTCGGTAAATACAATGGGCATATACCTAGGTTCTTGTGTTTCTCGATCCAGGTAAGGAATACATTTGTGCTTTGTCTTCCGTGCCCATATATATGTCGTGGAATGAAAACCTCACGATGCCTCGCTGCACTAAAGCAATTCTGAATAGTTAATAATGCTGTAAATGTATGTCTCCACCGACTCATCTTAACACTTGTCTCTATTCCTCATAGCAATAATGTTTGGAGTCAACATTTTAACGGGAAGGATTTTATTTAAAGCCGGAGCACTGCGAATTTAGCCACATACATTGGCATGTATGCCGTCCATTTTGTCGCCCGGCAAGGCTGCAAAACTAACCGTTTAACACGAGGCCCTTTGGGCATTGTCTTCCCTCTCATGATACTGTTACTCATACCCCTAGTACTTTCAGCAGGATAATAATATTTCGTAAAACCCCTGCAACAACACCTGCTGGCAGACATGGTATTCGTGCGCGTCACTACGTTCGACAGGGCATTTAAACCTGTTGCGCATCTGCGACATTCCCTTCGTGCCTGTCCACAACATCGCCTTCCTACCTGTCACCGAGTTTGCCTTGCAGGGTGTGCAAGCCACCAGATCCCTTCCTCGTCGTTCTGTATCCGCCGACCGGCGGCAAGCCGCACTTCTATGACTGCATGACGGCCGATTGCAGCAACAATCTTGAGCTGTGTTCCTATTCAGCCCGAGCGCTCATCGGACTTGGGAAGGTGGGTACATGGGTGTTAACTGTCCGTCTGTAGACGAATTTCCGTGTTGAAAAAAAATTATGAATTAAAAAAAAATGTTTTAAACAAATTTTAAATTTTTACAATTTTTACAATTTTTAAAAAAGTGAATTGCATCTAATGATCTTAACTATGTATGCTTGTTATATATTCTTGTATAATAGTGTTTTATCCGTTTTTATTTTACAAATGAAATAGATTGTAGTATTTTCTAAATTTCTATCTTATCAGGAAATGTCAGCAAATGTGTTTTATATTGCACAGAATCCATAGCTTCGGGTGGGCTACTCTTTGTCGTTTTTCGCGTGGCTTCACTGTTGGTCGTTCATGGGTCTGACGCTGAGTAGACATGCATCGAATAAAAATCTCGTGCGAAGGAACGCCGCCACATGCTTTGTGTCAAATCTTGCGGCTTGTCTCGTGTAGAATCAAGAACGGAACTTGTGTGCTAGATATTTACTCGTGTGGAAAGAGAGATGCTTGCATTTCTGACATACGTGAACAGGGTTTACCTTCGAAAACAGCAAATTCAGCCACGTGTGCGGTTGTGTATTTGCCCTGCAGGCTGCATCTGCGTAACATGAGGCCCTTACGGTCTCATCTTGTCTCTCCTGATCCTTTTACTCATAGAAATAGTATTTTCAAAACACAAACCATATACTAATACCATTGCACTTACAGCATACGTGACCGTTTTCCGACAGGGCTTCGAAACCACGGATTCGGAACGCATTACATTGGAGTTTGTCCAGGAGAGGACTGCTGATTGGACGCATCCCGCCTCGTCCTTGTCTTCGAAGCCGGGTGATGGGAACCGACCAGCAAGAGTTGAAGGCGAATACGACTGGTTGGAGATGACGCATCGTAATGATGACCTGTCCCCCAGACCCTCTCCGAGCCCACATCCACACTTGGGAAAGGTCGGGTGCATTTTCTCAGCAGCAGCACTGTTTCAATTACATTCTGATAATGAGCCAACCCCAGACCATCCCCTAGTCCCTGTCCATGCTTGGGAAAGGTTTGGTGCATTCACAACAACATCAATATTTCTAATTACGTGCCAATATTGAGATATTGAGTTGGCTCGCAAGAAAGGAGGTGGTGTATATAAAAAATATACCGCATCTGCCTCTGACGATAAGAGAATGAATGTGTGAATCCTTGATTGGAACAATTGCCTTCTTTAACACACAGAAGCAGCACTAAAATGGTGTGTGAGTCATCCCTGCTTGTAATAGCAGATTGAAATGTTGATACTATGGCATTGTGTTGCAGGTTTCACTCCTGAGACCATCTGTGCCTGAGGTTTCCCTCATATTTGATGATGAGGATGTTGAAAATAGAGAGCTGCCATCTGCAGGGAGAACTGGTAAGCTATTGTTCTCGCACTATACATCTAAGGAGGCTCCGCGCGTCCCTCTCCAGGTTCTCGGTTTAGCATGTGTGAGGTAGTCACCTTAAGGGGTAGCCGTCTGGTCACGTCAATAGATAACACAAACACTGTATTACAAAAGCTACTCTCCGTGCGTTCTATTACACCACCTAATATTCGTCCCCATGTGGCTTGCACTTTAACAGCCTAAACAAACAACTCTACGATACTAAACAGATGTCTACAAGTCGTAACAATCGCGCCGCGTGTCGCGTAACCGAATACAAGTAACCTCGTACCTTAAAACGCGGATCGCGAAGTAGCTCGGCGAAGTGAAGGTGGTGGAAATAAGGAGTATTGAAGGAATAGGTGTAGGAGACCAAGGGAAGATCACTAGCTCGGAAAAACTGGACTATGCGGCTGAGAGGAAGAGGCCCGAGTCCCTAGCTTGGAGTTTAGCATCCACAGCTGCGGCGCTCGACTAATATGTGTAACTCGGATGATATATATGGCGAGGGACACCAATAGATGATGTAGTGCGTTATTTATGGTATCGCTTACGCCGTGCGATAGCTCATGTAGGGCGGCTAGTGTAGGGCGCTATAAATAATATCTGGAGAAGCCTGCCCTGTCCTACATACATGTGTCGCCTTGGCGCACTGTGCAGTGCTGTTATCTAGATGCAATTAAACTTAAGCCTTGTAATTAAATCTACCCATGGTCCACGTACCTCATTTTCTGTCTTATACGACAAACCTCACAAGCTTTGCCTTCAGAAGTGTCTCTTGTTTTTCTGATGGGATCATCAGAATGACATCAACCTGCGATCGCACATCCATCAGACTAGCTCACACCTGCATGTCTTTCTCTTGTAGGTGTTTCTGTCACTGACTCTATGACTGGTAACGAATCTAGGAGAGTGCTGACCCCTCTTAACAGAATTCATGGGGAAAACGGCACCGCAGACAACGGCGTTCGAGCTTTAGAAAAGTCATCGACGAAAGTCAGGTTTCGGAATGCGGCGTTGGCAAGTTTAACTAAGACTTCGGCAACACCGGTAACCACTGCCGCGGCACTGCAGAGGCAGTTGTTCGACCCGGCAAACCCAGATCCTTCTTCACCGAGCGAGGTAGCCGCGTCCTCCAGTCAGACAGTGTCGCCATCTACTGGCACGCATCCGCACCGCCAGATTTCGACCGGTTTTCCGCAGCCGGATGGAATTCGGACGGAGCCTGCTGGTGGTGCGAAAACGAGCGTGCCGCACACGCAGAGAGTAAGGCAGCGATCGGTCGGCAGCAGTACGCAGCGACGCACGCCCAACTCAAATTCAGACAAACGCGCTTCTCTCGCTGCCGGCGGCACCGGCCGGCAGGTTTCCGCGCCAAAGCCCGCACGGCACCCTCTAGCAGCCAGTGGTGCCGGTAAACGAACGGGCGGCGCGTGCACAGACGTGCCCGGACGGCGCGCGTCGGCGACGCGTCCGAAGAGCATCCTGAAGCGGAAGCCGAGCCCGCAGCATCCCGCGATTACTCGCGCGGCATCCGCGGAGGCAGTCGTCACGGCGACGGAAGCGGCGGACGATCCTGGACGCGGCGCGCCCGACGCCGCGCGTCCGATGGACTTCGCAGAGAGCGAAACGTACGTGGACGGCGACGTGAACGGGAGCTGGACGCGGCGCCGCCGCTCGACAACCGACTTTGTCGCGATGCAGAGCACGCCCGCGACGGCCGCGTCCCCGGGCAGAGCGTTGGCGGAGCCGTGCGCCCGAGGGCAGATGCCGTCGGTAGACGCGACGCCGGTCGTCAGCTCACGCCCGATCCACGCCGGCATGGTCGGAGCGATGCGCGGCGTGGCGGACACTCCCGCGCTGTCGCCGGACGTCGCGGACGCGCGCGGGAATCGCTACGTCGACCCGCCGCCAGAGGGCGTTTATGCGCTGTTGCGTGAGCAGGGAAATCAGCTTCGACTGCTGCAGGAGCAAATACGGATGCTCCTGCAAGCCCAGGAGGCGCCACCGGCCGCCGCGACCGCCGCAGCGTCATCGGACAACGGTGAGACAACGTCGACTTGTGAGGTCGGCGACTCGTCGGCGGTCGCCGCGGCGACGGGACGAGACACGGTCAGCACGGCGGTCAACACCAGCGGGGCGTGGCTGCCCGCCGCCACGTGCGACCGCGGCACGAGTCCGCTTCCGCTCGACTGCCTGCAGGTGGCGCCGGTCGACGAGGCGGTGCAGTGCGGCGAGATCACGTCCTGCCAGTCGCCGCTGGACGACGCCGACCCCGCGCCCGATATTCGGCGCCGGGTGGTCGGTGCGGACCCCGTACGTGGCGTGAGTGGAAACGCGGGGACCGGCGCGACACCGAGCGGAGATCGCTCCAAGAACGACGACAAAGCGGGCCGGCCGTCTCCGCCGCTGCCGCACGTGACCTCTGACCCGCGCGACATCGTCGGTCTGCGGCCTTCGCTCGCCGTTGCGAGCCTGGATTCGCAGTGGTCGCGCGACTACGGGATGACGAATCATCACGGCCGGGCGGCGGCGGCGGCGCGCGTCGTCACCGAGCGAACGAGCCACGTCACCTCTGCCGGTCCACAGGCGTGCGAAGACACTCGAGATGAGAAAGAGGAGGAGGGGGAGGGTGCGATGCGGGGATGCGCGTCACGCGGTGCCGCCGCTATGCAGCCGATTCGCGCAGACGACGGGCAAGATGGCGACGAGTCGGTGAGCCTGAGCGGAGTGAACGTGGCGACGTTTTGCGATCGGCAGGAGAGCGTGCGCTCGTCGATCAGAGTCGACATGCAGAGCTTTGAGGGCTCCCCGTCGAGGTATGTGCACGACGTTGGTGTGCGAATTTAATTTGTTGATTAGTTAGGTTGTATGCCTCTTAGAAGCTCAATGTGGCATTGCATTGTGTTATAGTATTTAACTTGGTATGAAAAGCTGGTGTTATGTTTGAGATGATCAAAGAATAGACAGAGAGAAAAAGATGAGCTGGTAGCGTAGATGGTATGACGTCAGTGATGTTATTCTTATAGCACATGTAGCATGACAACTTACTTCGTCGAATTTAATGACAGATATGCCCTCTAATTACATAATATAATAACATTCTCTTTCAAGAAAACCAAACACTGTTCGGATGAGTGCATAGAATTGAAGTAAGCTTGAATTATGAAGTTTCATCATAAAATTACCTGCTCTCTCTGCTCGCATGCGATGTAATTTCTGTGAGAATGCATTCCGCATTCGGCCTTGCTTGTTATTGACTGGAGCATGGTGCGGCAGGTTGACGGATGCAGATGAGAGCTTCCAGTCCCCTGTACTGGGCGAGAGCGTGAGCATGTGTGAGACGCATCGGCGACGCGCTGCGAGGCTGCGGGGTCAGCAGCGAGATGACTCCAGCTCGTGCTACGACAGCGACGACGAGGACGAGGACGAGGACGACGTGTTTGACGGCAATCCGAAAGCCTTCTACGAAAACGTGTTGGTGAGCGAATTTCGTTGTCGTTATTGCAACGTTTACGAAGTGATACGTGCATTCGTCAGTGACGCTCCTGCCAAGTATCGAAGCATTGTTCAAGCACACATCCCAGAGTTTAGTCTTTGTTTTTTTAATAAAAGTTAGTGGTATCTGTTTTCTACTGTCCGCTTCTACATTCTCATTCATTCCTTACACCTGGTTGTAAATAGGTATTTGCTATCGTTACCCTCAGGGAAAGATACAGAATTTTCTCACTCAGTCACCTGAGCAGCCATCCCAGCAGTGCATGCCTCTGGCTACAGACGAGGCCTTCAATCAACATCCACGCAGGAGACGGGTAGCAACGATTCCTGCATCTCAACACCACCAAGGGGAGGCACGAGTGAATAACTCTGATTGTTACGATGAAGGGTGAGCTTCTCTGTTAGCATTAACATTGGGGCGTCATTCATTAATGTTGTTATATCATTTATGATGCGAAGGTAATATAACTGAAATAACATTTTATCTTAGAATCACTTTAAATGAAAAATTGGTTTGTATATTAATTGGCTATCAATATATGGTATATATCAACTATATATTGATGGAAAAGCACCACCAGAAGCATATGCCAAGCATCATGTATAGCTTAGCGGCCACGGCGACTCGACCCCGGGTGCCTCGCGTCGCGGCCGGCTCGGGCGGAGACATGCTGCCCCGCGTGCGCGTCGTCGCCGGCCGGGTGCGAGACAAGACGCTGCTGCGTCTGCATGGCGGCCGCCTCGCGCGACGGGGCGTGACCGCGCCTCGGTGCTCGTCCGCCGTGAGACCGCGCTCGGGTGCCTCGTCGCCCGCGAGGCCGCGCCTTAGTGCTCATCCCGCCGTGAGACCGCGCCTCGGTGCCTCGTCCGCCGTGAGACGCGCCTCGGTGCCTCGTCCGGCCGTGAGACCGCGCCTCAGTGCCTCGTCCGCCGTGAGACCGCGCTCGGTGCCTCGTCGCCGCCGCGAGCCCCGCGCGCCGGTGCCTCGTCCGTGATAGGACTGTGTCTCGGTGCCTCGTGCGTGATAGGATCACGTCTCGATCCTCGTTCGTGACGGGACCATGCCTCGATGGCCTCGCTCGGGATGAGGCCGTGTCTCGACATGTACTTGCGCGTCGCAAACGACATGTTCACCTCGACATGCCGTACACGGTGACGTCGGACGACGCTGAAACGGGATGAATCCTGTCGGCTTCGTCGCTAACGAACGTATCCGGTGGCTTTCGTTTGCTACTGTTATTGTTATAAATACACGCAGTTCGTGCAGACATGCACACACTCCCCCTATGCATGCCTCACGCACGCATGCATGTGCACAGACACAATGATTTCGACTAACTCTTTCATAAAGTAGAGCTTATTTCAGTAGCAGGTCGACTAAATAAAACGACTGGAATATTATAACCATTACTGTTGAATGCTGCGAGCACATGTTAGTAATTCAAAAACACAAACTAGCGATTTAGTACAAATTCATTGTTTCGAAAAATATTGCAAACGTTCTTAAACTTTCACGTACCTCCTGTAAGTGCCTTTTTCAATAACGTGTTCTTCGCACCCAGTAGGGGACGTTGCTGAAGAACCCTTAGTAATCGCTTCAAGTTGTTTTATCGTTCAGGTATTTAATGGCAAGTGTGTTTACCTGAAATATTAAATTACCACATATACTATAGATGAGCTGCTCTCATAGGAAAATTCTTAGGTCAAAATATATTACAGTACATACAATTAACCTTAATGGCAATAGAACTAGAGGATACATATTTTAAATACGGTTGCTATATGTTCATAATGATACTGTACATATCTACATGATCTACCACACTACATCCATCCTCACCTGAAGGCTAGCATCGAAATTTGATATATCAGATGGCAGCATGGAAATGTACTGTAACTTGGTGTCAATATAAATGAGGCCATCTCCAGTGGTCAGACTAAACAGTAAAATAGAATTTAATAATTTATATGGTATATATATATATATATATATATATATATATATATGCATATA